TGGACGGTAACAAGAGCAAAGTGTGGGATGGGAGGTCCACCTCAACCTGGCAGTAGGGATCACAGGGTTGGGGTAGATTGATGTAGGTAGCTCAGCTGTTTCTGTCCTTACCCAGGTGTTTCACTAAAGGCACCGCAATGAAACAAAGTTTGTGTGTGAGTTTTTGGTAAATTATTTCATATCTTTCCTCTTTTTGGCCATTGTCCCCCCCCTCTCTCATTCTTTGTCTGTCTTTCTCATTTGTGAGCATATATGGATGCATAATTGCACTCACACACTGAAGTGCATAGGTACAACGTTCCCTGTTTTTAGCCTTTGGATTTTTTAAATACCCTAGTTGACATTTTCTTATGTTTCATTTTTTATATTTTTTTGTGTTTCACTGTTTACATTTTTCCACCTTCATGAGTGTTTGGCAGCAGGAAAGGCAGGCTTTAAGTAAAGTTTTCTTTTTAAAAGACAGGAGGGAGTGAATGTTTATGGGAAGAAGGAATCTTTGTTTTTGTACCTTGAAGGCACACCATCTCCTTCATGTCACCACCACTTTGGGATTCCTGTTTTCCATGGTGATGGGAGGAACGCCGTTGGTGGTGGCGGCGGGCGGAATGAGTGGGTACCAGTTCATTAGAGATTAATGCTATCATTTTCCTTCCACCACATTTTCCAGGTTTTCCAGAAACGATTCAATGGTTCAATCAGTTTCTTTCGGGGATGGAATGACTATCGGTTTGGCTTTGGCAGAGCAGACAGTGAATACTGGCTGGGTAAATAGAAATGAGTAACGGGAAATACCTTCTTTCTCTCCCCCCTCCTTTTAAACAACAACAACAAAACAGACAATATGAATCATTGACAACCAAAAGGTAACATGAATTCAGTACAAGGAGGTTTTGATGATAAAATACAAAAGCCAATTGGTCAAAAACCACGAGTAAATGGAATGGATATTGGGCTCATCCACACTTACCATTTGCCCTGCACTTTTTAGGCACTGATCCATGCTTTAAGGCTGAGTACTTTTCTTTCCCCATGAAAACCTGCTCTTTTAACACAATTCAAGTTTTCTGTGGGTTGCAGTTTGTTCTGATTTAGTGGTAAAGAGAAGGTTTTCATGGGGAAAGCACTGGGGCAAACAAAAAAAACCCAACAAAACACTCTCGGACCCTTTGAAGTGTGGACCTGTGCCTAGAAACATGGCACAAAAGAGAGTCTGAATGAGCCCACAATTACGAAGTTGCCAGCGGGGTGGAAAAACTCCGCTTACATTGCACAACAAACCAAATAAGAGGAAAGGGGTTCCAGCCCATTTACAGGCAAGGATTTGCCACCTGAGTGACTGTGTTGTCACGTAGTTAATAAATAACCACTAAGAACAGGTAGAGTCAGAAAGATCAGCATCACCTTTAGTTGCATGAAGATTACAATTTCTTTGAGATAATGATGAACATAACTTTCTTGAACCAGTTATCTAGGGTATAACGTGAGACCTTTTTCCAGCCCTTTTTTTCTCTTCTCCCCCCCTCCCCCTGGCTCTTAACACAGACATTTTCCTTTGCCAGGACATTTTGGAACACCAAATGTTTGGGTTTCTTCCCTAAGCAGCTGAAACATGTTCCTGGGCCCAGACAATTCCAATGTAAAATGTGAGCATGTTTACAGTGTCTCTGAGCCAGGAGATGCAGTCAAGTTCCCCTTCATTTTTCTGCCTGCCCATCACTTTTCTATCCAAAGACACTGGCTCAGACAATACATAGCTCCCAACGAAAAGAGTGGGTGGTTGCGTCGCTGTCTTTTGTTCTGTGTGTATACAGTTTGGGTTCCTAAATAATACGTCTTATCTGCTCTATGGCCCAGGGCTGCAAAATATCCACCTCCTGACCCTGAAGCAGAAGTATGAACTACGTGTGGAGCTGGAGGACTTTGAGAACAGTACAGTCTTTGCCAGATATACGGACTTCTCACTGTCGCCACACGCTATCAGTGCAGAAGAGGATGGCTACACACTGCATGTGTCTGGCTTTATTGATGGGGGAGCAGGTGAGGGGCTGTGGGTGCCAAGTTACTAGTCATCCCTTTCTACTGTTACTTCAGCCCCCCACCCCATACCCAGGATTGGGTAGGGTGCTAGCTCCTAACACATTGGCTCTATCCCCTGAAATAGATCCTTCAACTACAATAGCAAGGGTGGAGAGCTTCAGGCCCTCAAAATGTTGTTGGATTTCAAATTCCATCAGTCTTAGCCAGCATGGACAATAGTCAGGGATATGTGGAGTTGGAGTGCAGCACTGAGGAACGTGTGGAGGAACCTCTATATGTTGGACTCCTAACTTCTATCTGGCCCAGCCAGTATAGCTGATGGGGGTCCAGGAACAGACTCCCTGCTACTGTTATAGAGAGTCCTGAAGTGACCTCCAGTACCATCCAACACCACATAATCCAGAAGTCCTGGTTCTGAGTCACATAAGGACAATGCATTGGATCAAACTCCCCTCCCAGGGTTTGGTTCTTAACTTTGGGAAAATTTTCTGTACATCAGTGTGGTTAAGTATAATTGCCCCGAAACTCAGATCACAAGAAAGTCCACTCTTTGGAAAGCATGCCAACAGCCAGTTGTATCAAGCTAGGCCCCTAGCTGCAAGTGAATCTACTCTAAAGTAAGCATACTACTCCAGCTTTTTATTGCAGCAGGCTTCATGGCAGGTACCTAACCTCAGATGTTGCAGAGCTACAGCTCCCATCATCCTTGATTGCTGGCCTTCACAATGAGCTTGTGGGAGTCTAATAATATCTGAGGTGCCACAGATTACCCACACTTTCTTTATGGAATCCACATTTTTGTCACACCATTGTCTTTGTGCTCCCACCAGGTGACTCATTGACCTACCACAACGGCCAGAAGTTCTCCACGTTCGACCGGGACCAAGACCTTTTTGTGCAGAACTGTGCGGCACTGTCTTCGGGTGCCTGGTGGTTCAAGAGCTGTCATGTTTCCAACCTGAATGGCTTCTACCTTGGCGGGGCCCACCTCTCCTATGCAAGTGGCATTAACTGGGCCCAGTGGAAGGGCTTCTACTATTCCCTCAAGAGAAGTGAGATGAAAATACGCCGTGTCTGAGAGACGGGGTGGCCTCTCCCATTCCTCCTTTCCAGTGGCCTTCCGAAGATGAATTTCCATTGAAACAAACAAAACCTATATTGTGGATAAGGTTGTGGAACTGGGATTGAGCAGGTGGGGACTAGGGCTGTGATGGAACTAAAGCCATTGCCAACACAAACAAATTTTACCTTGTCTTAAACTTGTGCTGTGCTGAAATCTGTCTTCTAATTCCTTGAAAATTTTCTTTCCCAAAGAAAGATGATTGATTTTTCTGCCTCTTTCTCAGTGCACTTCAGAAAGTATTTGCAGTTACGGTGAGTTGGGGTTGAGCTTACTTAATCATTCATTGCAAAGGTGGCCAGTAGTGATGGGGGCTTTTTGGTGTCAATCGATTTCTCCAGCACTCTGTGGCCATCTTGCCTGTCTGTGTTTCCTGATCTGAAAAAGCCACATGGGAGGAGTTATCTCATCATTTCTTTCCTTGGGCTTCAGTCGAACTGGAGGAAGCTGAGGAGGTTGCTTACCAACTGCATGATTCTGGTCTGTCCTTTTACCTTAAAACCAGAACACAACGCCACAACATCCACACAAGGATCGCTTTAAAAATAAAAGAAGATGTTACTTTAAAAACATCAACCGTCAGGCAGCTATCGTGGGCATGGTAGGCAACCTCCGCAATTTCTAGTGCTTTCAGGAAACCTCACCCAAGGAAGTCATGAGATGCTCAGGAAGTACAGACTACAGATTGCAGACCACCAGAGGGATGTTTTGTAGAAAAGGAAGAAATAGGCCACACCAAAAGTCATGTGAGTGCAACAAAACTCTCACACCACACTAATAAAGATTTCACCCAAAGTCTGATCATTTTCAAATGCAATTTCTTTTTACAAAAAACAGACAATCATTTTAAAAAGAGCTCTCTTTTTTTGCACAGCATTGTTTCAAACCTGATTAATTACCATGAAAGTTTTCTAATACTCTCAGAAAATGATTCTCAGAGCTCTTTGGGAAACAGTGAAGCTACTCTGAAACTCACAAGTGCACAAGAGAGACATACCTAAATCTGCTAAGGGGAAGAGACGATCTTCATGTTGTTTGAGGCCAGGATTGAGAGTCTGCAGCACAGATGACTGGGTTAGCATTCAAACCGAGTGATAAAATGATGGGAAGAGGGGAAGAACACAGGCAAAAGCAGCCCAACCAGTTTTCCAAGTTTAAGAATAATTACAATCCTTTGTACCCCTTTGGTTTTTACTTTGAAATAAAGCCACATTCTCTGAAACTGAGACAGTGATACAACTGTAATGTGTGTGTGTATGGGGGGAGCTTTTTTGAGGCCAGGAGTGAAAAATCTGTAGCCTTCCAGATGTCATCCCTGTTGGCCATACTGATGGGATTTAGTACAGCAACATCTGGAGAGTGACAGGTTCCCCTCCCCAAGTTTAGGTAATTTGTTATTTCTTTACTGGTCAACTTCCCTGCACCGAGAAAAAGAGTATTAGTTCTTCAAAATGTGTGCTTCTTTTGACATCTGGCTGGCCTGAGTAACCATCCAAACTGCAAAGCAAACTTAGAAGATGGAAATGAAGACTAAACACTGCTTTCCCCAGCCTTCTCGTGTCCTGCCAATAAGCTTGTTTTGACTCCAGGCTGTTCACATTTTGTCTGGATTTTGTCCCCTGCAATTAAGGCAAAAGTCACCTGAGGCTACAGCACTGTGATGGCTGAGAACCAGGATATATGGTGTTCTTTTTGTGTTCTCATAAAACTGGTTGTGTTTTGGGTGTGTGTAGTGGGAGGGGGAGGGGGAGGAAACGGTGGTGGAAAGACCTACCACAAAGGTTTGGATCCTGAGCTGCAGTCTGAGCAAGAAGGGGGCGGAAAAACCACACACACAGCCAAGCCAGGTAAAATAAATAAATGTATTTCCTGAAACAAGAGCCAAGAGAGGCTGGGTGGGCAGGGACAAGTAATAAGCAGCCCCCAAAGCCAAGGCACTTGGATATAATGCCGGGAATATAGAGTATTTCTGACAATGAATTTGCTTTCCTAAAACGTGTTACGTCAGAACATCAAGTTTCTAGGCACTTCAGAATACACTATGGAGAATCAGTGGGAAGGTTTCCCTGAGGATAATGACAGAGGCTTTATTCCCATGAACAAGTGCAAATTTCCCAGCAGCCTTTGCTGTTCAATAGAATCGGGAACTGCATCCCTCACTCACCTGACATTGCATACCTGAGAGACTGAATCAGCAGGGTGCTGAAACTGATTAACCCCCCATGAACATGGTAACAGCTGAAAGGTTTTGACCTCCTGAAATAAATTGCAGGGAGAGGGTGCAGCTTAACTACATCAAGAAGAAAATAACTTCTTTCCATTCCCTGACTTCACACTAGAGGCTAAAGTGAGGGCTCACTTTTCAATATGTACCTCTTTAAAGAGGTGGCAGTAATGTTTCTCCCAGGATGCCCTTCTAGGATGCCACCAGGCTGCTCCCTAGCTTGTGTTGCTGGTGCTACAGATAGGCCAAGGAAAAAATAGGAAGGGTCCGATTTCCCCGTCCCCTCCACTCTGCTTATTATCTCAGCATAGGTGTTGGGGGCAAAAGTAACCTGCAAAAGGGTCCATGATAATCCAGAGGCCCCCTGTTCTGCATTACCTGTCCTGGGCACTGAAGAAAGCTGGAAATGGACACAGAAGGAAGCACTGCTCCCTTACCTACCACTAGAGAGAATGCAATCACCCTAGCATCAGAAGGCCGCATTACTAGGCCTCAAGTCATCACTAGTGTGTCACCTCTCCATGTTGATGAACATTAAGGGCATGCTATTTTGCTATCCCTTAACCAGCCACGAGAGGGAGAGGGAGAACAATTCTTAATGTGTTTTACAGGACAGTGTGTAAGATCCATTCCCCTGCTGCGATCCACACCCTTGGAGATATGCCTGAATGAGAAAAGGAGAGGTGTGCAGGCTACAGTGATCTGCCACTTGTTTGCAGCGGAAGCTGTAGGTCACAGGACTGCCTCTTTGTCAACCCTAAGGTGAGTTCCGTGGCCCAATGAGGCACCTTTTGTCTGAGAGGCTGGTCTCCTCTTCACCTTCAGGGTCGTCTTCACTCACATTCTTGGCCTCCTGGGTCCTCCTCTCCCCGATGCTGCTCCCTACCCCAGCCCCCACCCCACCGCCAATGACCGCAAAGGTGCCTGCGCCAGCCATGGTCCCAATGGCAAACGTAGCGGCAGTGCCAGCGCTCAGCGCAATGGCTTCTGCGGCCAACACAGCAGCTGCCACGCCGGCCCCAATGGCCCCGCCAGCTAACCCCACAGCACCCACGCCAATTGCCATCCCAGCTTTGAGGGCATGGGACTTGTAGCGACGGTGGTAGCGCTCCTTAAAAATTTGAGCTTCGTGCTTCAGGTGGTCTTCCAGTGACAAGATGGACTCTGTCCGGCCCGGCTCATCACCCTGCAGAGACTCCTCACACCGCCGCATTAATTCCCACTGCTTGCCCAGAAGGCGCCGCGTCATGGACTTGGGAGTCACTTGCAGGCCAGCAATCATGGGACGACAGAGCTCGTCCTGAGTGGAAGAAGGAAAAGATGTGTCAGGGTTACAGAACTGGGTAGGAGGAAAGGGAAACAGAAAGGAGATGCCAGTTCATGACCCAAGACAATCCCACTTCATAGTAATACAATTGTATTTCTCCTGCCTTTTCTCCTAGAGAGTAACTCTTCAGGCCTTTCTATCTGGCCCTTGGGGACTCTCCCCAGGCATAGCTAGATCCCCTCTTTGCTAGTCACAGGCCTCACCACTCCTACTTCAAGCCCTTCTTGCGAGTTTGTTGTATTGACTCGCTGTAATGTGTCCATGAATTCTGGCAATGCCTGGTGCTTGCCTGGATATCATATAGATAGAGATGTGTGAGTGTGTGCAGAAACTAGCCTACTGTACAAAAGTAAAGTCACTCCTGGAGTTTCACATCCTATCCAAAACATCTAAAAATTTAAATGTTTCTGGACAGTTCTCTCAAATGGATCCTACAGACGACACCACCTGTTATCCCTGTTATCCAACAGTGGTCCAATATTATAAATATGTCCTGCCACCACCAACCTGCACGGCACATTTATTTCCTTCTCCCAAATCCAACCCTCAGAAATTCCTCAAAATCTTCTTTGCCAACATTTTTCTTAACCCACAGCCACATCTGTTGATTTGGTTCTGCTCATACCTGCTCTCTGATGAAATCTGCAAACTCCTGCCGCAGTTTTTCCTGGGTGTCCAGATTGTGTAAGGTGATCGCCATCTGGGGAGGGTGGAAGGAAAGAACGGAAGATTCTCATTTTTCAGTTGAGTCCCCGCAAACCCCATTGCCAGAAAAGGAAGGTAAGTGCTCATTCATGTACCAATCCTGCTTGTGCCGGCCATCTTCTTCAGTTTGCATATGACATCTTACTTGTGGTGATGGACAGGAATAGAGGAAACTGCCTTACACCCAGCCAAACCATTGGTCCATGTGGCTCTCCAGGGTTTCAGGCCGTAGTCTCTCCCAGTCTTACCTGGAGCTGCCAGGGATTGAACCCTGAACTTTCTGTATGCATAATGAATAGTCTACCACTGAGTTATAGCCCTTCCCTATTGATAACACAGCAACAGAAGCTGTCGGCCCCCCCCCCCCACTCACTGACCTCTCAGTCCCATCTCGAGAAGGTTTTTATTTCATTTATCAAGTGATGGACACCAGTGGTCTGCTATCCAAGCACTAACCAAACCCAGAGCTTCTTAGCTTCAGCAAGGTTATTGTATTATTTGCCATTGAAATATACCCTGGCTGATGGATGCAGTGTCCAAAAATGCAGCTTCTGCTTAAATAGATCAAACAGGTAAGCCAAACGACAAGCAATATGGGGGCCTGGTCAAGGAAACAGAAGCAGGGCTGATCATGAACATCAGATGATGAGAGTGAAGTTTGATACCTGAGTGACTGAAGAGAAGCCAAACTTATATTTCTTCATCAGAGAGGAGAAATTCTGAAAAGGAGAGAGAAGAAAAGGAGTGGCATCTGAGGATGGGGTTCACAACTGTCTCCCCACACCAAAAGACAGTCACATACTGTCAGAAGCCACAGTGCTGCAGTTAAATACATTCACAGTCCACACATACATCACATTTGTTTTCCCACACTGGGAGCATGTACATTCATTTGCTTTTTTTACAAACAATGTTTTGACTTTGGGTCCTAATAAGGCAACCTCACAGTTAAAGAGACCTTAACAGTTAATTAATACAACTAGGATAATAAAAATATCAAGATTGCAATGAGATTTAGAACAAACAAACGTAAGAAGCAGAAGCAATGACAAACACAAGAGAAATGGAGTTCAAGCCAGGGCAACTGGCAAATCCCAAAAAGGGAAAGAAAAGAGAAAAACAAAAAACAAATCTTGACTTTGGCAGCATGGCCTAAGTTCCACTGCTGTGGAGTTGCAGCTCAGCCTGTGTGCTAGGACAAGCCACACCCACACTAACACTTGGACATGCTGAAGGGAGTCAACGGCACTACTGAGTTGCAGCAGAGTGCCTGACGGAGAGGTCTCATATCTCGAACTTTCTCCTGGTTAGCAAAAGCAGCACTGGCTACACTAGACCTGAAGTACAGCTTAGCAATTGAGGTGAGTGACAGGGATGGAAATGAGTTGGTCCCTCTCCCAAAATACATAGGAAGCTGCTTTATACTGAGTCAGGCCATTGGGTCCATCTAGCTTAGTACAGTGGTACCTCGGGTTAAGAACTTAATTTGTTCTGGAGGTCCATTCTTAACCTGAAACTATTCTTAACCTGAGGTACCACTTTAGCTAATGGGGCCTCCAGCTGCTGCCACGCTGCTGCTGTGCGGTTTCTGTTCTCATCCTGAAGCAAAGTTCTTAACCCGAGGTACTATTTCCGGGTTAGCGGAGTCTGTAACCTGAAGCGTCTCTAACCTGAAACGTCTGTAACCCGAAGTACCACTGTACTGTCTGTACTCTATGCTGGCCAGCAGTGGTTCTCCAGGATTTTAGGCAGGAACCTTTCCTATCTAGAGATCAAACCTTCTGCATGCAAAAGTGTTGCTCTAACACTGAGCTATGGATGCTCCTAATGAATACAGGATGTAGCAAAGTCAGAGCCTTGGTCCATTGGGCTCAGTACTGTCTACACTGACTGCCAGCACCTCTCCAGGGCTTCTGGTAGGAGTCTCTCCCAGCCTTACCTGGAGATGCCAAGAACTGAATCTCGGACTTCCTGCATTCAAGGCATATGTTCTACCACTGAGTTACATCCACCCATTGGATATCAGCCAGGTCTAAATTGTTTTTAGATTAGAACCAGTGGGTATCTCTTTTTCCAAGAGTACACCCATCTACACACATACATACTAGCAGCCTTTCTTCACATAGCCAAAACAGCATCACACAGACACCGAACCTTACTTCAACCCTGTGCTGCAATGGTTACATTTCAGAGAAAAACTAAACTTTGACTGGACAGCTTTTAAGTCAGCCCCTACAGCTGTGCATTTAATAGCCACAGGGTGTCCAGCTATTAGCATGCAATAATGTTTAGTTCTGGGCTGTGAAAAACTTCACCTGCTGAAAAGCAACACAGGGATGAAGAACACCTGCCCCACCACCAATGCTTATGGACTACAGCTCCCACCATCTCTGACCACTGGCCACATTGGCTGGGGCTGATGGATCTTGGAGTCCGACAACAAGAGGGCCAACGGATCAAACTTCTGTCATATGTACATGTACATGTTAGGGCAATGTTTTTATTGGGCAATCTCTTTTAGCACATGTCTGTACTTTAGTGCAATTAAACTCTAATTAACAGGAGAGCCTCTACTTCTTAATGGCGGTGTAGGAGGGTTTTCGGCAGGCAAAGTGCTTTTGCACTCAGCGCCTCCTTGCCCCCCACATTCCATGCCGGAGTAAGAGCCAGGTACCAAGACAAACTACCCCCATCCCCCCAATCCCTGGGGGGGGGGGGATTTGCAAGGATAATTACCCTCAATCGTCCTTGTTTTCCCTTTGCCAACAATCTCCTGCTGTCATGGGGTCTTCCTCCATTAAGGCAGAGCGGAACCAAAAGCCTCTACTCTTTTATATAAGCCTACCCTAAGCCATCTCTTTGCACATTGCACATCTTCTTGCCTATCAGAGCAGTGTGATGGGCAGAAATCCAACAGGTGGAATTCTCCATGTTCTGTCCAGATTAGAGACTTGATTCTGCATCTCTTACCTTCACCTTGGCTGCAAGTTGTGCCCCTGTAAGGGCTCTTCCCTCCTGGTCACTCTTTACATGCGTTACAGCTGTTCTGGCTATGTCGTTCCCATAAGCCTTCAGGCAATCCCTAAAATCCTTATCCATGTCTGGAAGGGGAAACAAAAACAAAGCAGGCAATTCAGGCAAAGGAACTGTAACAAATGACGCTCTCAGAACAGCTGCTCCCCCTGGTGGCCACAAAGAATGATGCTGAAGGTTCAGTAGCCCTCCCCAATTTTACATTTGACCATGCCACTGAATATAAGGAGTGAGAAACCTAAAAGCACGTGAACAGAGCATTTGGAGCAGTAACTTAGAACCACAGAATTGTAGAGTTGGAAGGGACCCTGAGGGTCATCTAGTCCAACGTCCTGAACTGCCATCCATGGGTGGGCTTGAACCACCAACCTTCTGGTTAAACGTTTGCATTCAATACCAGGAGTGGGGAACATGGGGTCTGCCAGATGTTTTTGAACTCCAGCTCCCATCAACCCCAGTCAGGATGGTCAGTGGTCAGCGTTGGTGACATGTCACATGTTCAGCCGCCTTGGTCTGGGGCTAGGCAATGAGAAGCTGTAGCTTCCACCCTCCTGCAGCCTGATCCAGGGTGCTGCTGCCCAGTTAGACATGGGTGGAAGAAAGTGAGAAGAAATGGTAGATCAAAGTGACAGATAACATTTCTTTGCATCACATTTAGGTTTGACATAAGTGATGCCAAAGCCTGAGAAACTGGAAGGACCCAAGTTATTGCAAGTTGTTTTAAACTGTTTTTAACATTTTGTGTTAGTTCTTGCGACCCACCCTGGGGCCTTGAAGTGAAGGGTTGGTAAATAATGAAAGAAACGTCACTTCTTCTTCTTTTACATGATAGAAGTGGGGAAATGCTTTTCTATTGCTTTGGGGTTAAGTAGTACATGCTGTACTGCTTTCTATGGGCAGACTAAAGAAACAATGAGGACATCAAAGGGAACCAATAATTCCAGCCACCAGATAGCAGAATTAAGCAGTTTTCTCCTCTTTAAAGTCTTTGGCTAGCAAGGAGAAAACGCCACTACGGATTAAGAAAGGAGTTTATTATGGAACCAAAGCTCCACTTAGTGGATGAATGAGTGAACAGCTCACATGCTGCACAGAGCTAATGCAGATTAGAGGAGCAAGAGTTGGATTTGGAGCTACTTGTGGGAATGATGGAAAGAGAAGAGGTTCTTACCTGCAAGTGTGCCCTCAGTTCCCACCACCAGCCTCTTGCCAGGGAAGGGCATCAGGTAGCAGCGGGTGCTGGTGCTCCTGAGGGCCTCCAGGGCCCGTGGGTGCCTTTTGGGATCCAGTTTCTGAAGAGAAAGAACGAGAGAGAATTAGATGTAGCCATCCAAAAACGACCACCCGGAGCCAGGCTTGTTGTGAATGGGACTTCTCAAGCACTCTTCCAAAGCAGCTAGTTGGGTTGGATTGATATATTCGTATTCGTATTCATATTATTATTTATACCCCACACATCAGGCTGGGTTTCCCCAGCTACTCTGGGCAGCTCCCAAAAGATTAAAAACAGAATAAAACCTCAAACATTAAAAACTTCCCTAAGCAAGGCTGCCTTCAGATATCTTCTAAAAGTCAGATAGTTGTTTATTTCCTTGACATCTGATGGGAGGACGTTCCACAGGGTGGGCACCACCACCGAGAAGGCCCTCTGTCTGGTTCCCTGTAATCTCACTTATATCTCTGCATGGTTTTCTAACCATTCAACAAGCCATAACTTCAACAGTAAAAATAATAGAGCCAATAAAGCAAATGATAACTAATACAAACAGCAGTTGGAATAAAAATCCAGAATCCTACATACGTCCAGAAGCTAAAAGCAATTAGAACATAAAATCAGGAAGGGAGAAAGTACTTGGCACAAGAATTTAAATATGCCTATTGCAATGAAAGCAGTGGCCCAGTTACCCCCACCAGGCCATTTCAGCCAAGCCATGCCCACTTACCCTACACCTGTCATCATATTTGATGCCAGGTGTGGGGTAGGTAAAGATGTGAATGGGCCCAAAGGGCATCTCCTATCAACAGCACCTGAAAAGTACAAAGCTGTGCCCTTCAAAGTATGTGGACAAAAATGAGTTATCTGCATCACTGTGATGACAGATGAGTGACCCTACCCACCAGTTCAAGCTGCCCATGAAGGTAGATGAGATAAGGACCCACCCCACCAGTTGGATCTCATTCCCCATCCCTGAATCAATGGGTCTGGATAAACAAAATTACCTTCTATTCAACCTTAAAAGGCCATAGATTGGGTACCAGGCAAGTCTTTCTTCGGAAGGCATTCTATAAAATGGGGTGCCGCCAACAAAAAGGCCCTCTCCCTGGTAACCACCTTACTCACATGGTTGGAATGGAGAAACTGGAGAAAGACTCTCCATCCAATGCTTCCACTGTCACATTTACCTGTATGGTACTTTGGAGGTAATTCTGCCCCTCCTGGAATCCAAAGACAGGTGGGAAGAACCAGTCACGCACCAGGACATCAAGATGCTGCAACAGAGAGACGAAGCATGTGAACTGCTTTTCCTACAGCTACAATATGCTTCTATTCCTCTTACACAATTCCTTTCAATGACCACACTTTGAATACTGTGTCCAGCTCAGGCACTGAGTCTGAAAAGGGATAATGTAAGGCTGAAAAGGGATAATGTAAGGCTGTGCAGAAAAGTGCAACCCAAATGATGCAAACAATATATCATTTAAATCGGAACCAGTGAAAGCAGTGAATGTCCTGTGTGAGTGTCTGGAGGTGGTTGGAAGGTGGATGGTGGTTAACAGATTGAGGTTGAATCCCAACAAGACAGATGTTTCTCGGGGGACAGGGCAGGTGTGGGGTCTCCCTGGACCTGCATTGAGTAACTGCCACTAAAGGACCAGTTTGCATTTCTTAGTGCAGAAAGTATTGAGCTGATGAGTAGAGAACTTTCTGATTAATTCTGATTAATACAAGAGGATTCTAGAAGCTACTAGAAGCTTCTCTGTGTGAGAGAAGCAAGCAGAAGGGTCGTGATTGTTTTGGTTATACCTTCTGGAAGCTGAGTACAGCTGGTTTGAACTGGTTCTCTTATCTCTTCCAATTAAGGTCATGCTGACTATAAATATAGGACAGAAAGAGCCTGGGTTTTACTTTCTCTTTCTATCTCTCTTCCTTCTGGTGTGGTGTTCTGTACATAGTATGTTTAGTGTTAAGTTTTTGTACTGTAAGTGCTGCAACTGGATTTTTATGGACTGTGCCAATCCTGAATGTACTGGATTTGTAACCATTTATGCTCATTTGCCTTCAGCACCAGTAAAGCTCTGCTGGATGAAGTACAATTGCCTCTGGTCAATTTTTGGAAACTGCATCATGTTTAAGTTTTTCCTCCACACGTATGACAATGCATAGCCACTGGTTCTTTTGGACTCACCGCTGTCCATGGAAGTGCAGGTTAATCCAGTCAGATGGGCGGCTAATAATAATATTGGTATAATTATTAACAGTTGCATTTGTGCATTTTTACCTTAGGGAAAATGTGAATAACAGGGAACATGACAGAGGCATAGAAAATAATGTCTGGTGTCGAGTAATACAGAGAGGGACATGCTCTTTTTCCTGTCTCATCCATGGGTCATCCATGAATGGTGTGAAATTCAGAACAAACAATGGAGAATCTTTCCTCACATGGAGCATTGTTTTAACTATGGAAGGTGCAGCGACGACCATTAACCTGGTCAGGCTACTATTGCTACTGCTCAGGTATCAGAGGCAATACCAATTCCTGGGGGAAAACACGTGGGAGAATGCCATTGTGCTCAGGTTCTGTTTGCAAGCTGAATAAAGCCGAACATGGGAAGGTTCAGGGCAAAGAAAAGGAGGCACGCCTTCACACAGCACATACTTAAATGATGGGATTCTCCCCAAGCCATACTCCCTCCTTTGAGCTCTCCTTGCATTCTGATAACGTCTCTTGCTTGTCTAGATGAAGGACAGAGAGGGGAATGCAAGTGTCTGCAGAAACATGCCTACAGTACAAAGGTAAAAGGCACGTCCCTTGGTTTTCTCATGTGTGCTTCTGGCCCTACTCACCATTGGCATGTGACACCTGGAAAGTGACCCAGAAAGAAGCATGGCCCTTTGGATGAATGAAATTCCCAACCTTGGGATAGGCAGAATTGCCCAGAGCTGATTTACATATGAATTGGGTGGACAAATCAATGTCTGCCCAATTATATATCGGTTTTGCCTTTTTCATTCCATATAGAGGTGTTATTTGGGGTTTGTGACACTCTCCTTATGATTGAAAAGAAATGCAAAGGGGTGTTTTAAAAAGCAACAACAAAAACGGTGGGAAGAACAAATTATTGGGCACTTGCAAATGAGAGAAAAAGAGATGTGGGTGCCAGGCAGAGGAACACGAGGCTGGGAGAGGTGGCTGAGGCGATGGGAGCCCAGGAACAAAGGAGCTCTTTGACAGATCAGCGAGGCGGAGAACATGAACATCATGGCAATCGTAGGGGAAGGAAAAGAGAATGAAACAAAGAGAAGGAAGTGGAGCAGCTGGTGCACATTACCTGAAAGGGCTTTAATCTGCAGGAGCCTCCTACCGTCTCAGCTACATACATGAACATCTGTGGGCAGAGGAAGTGGGAGACACACCCAGGAAATGAAGAAATCTGGTTTACTTAGCCCTTTAGCCCAGCCCACAAGATCTATTTCCCTCTCAAGAGGCCATGGGCTTGAGAAGCCAGGAGCCAAAACCCCACTGGATAAATTTATGGCTATGGTATTTATTATATTGTGGTATTAGTTATGTACATCACCATTTGTATCCTTACTTCCCCCCACCCCCACAACATAGTTGGAGTCATCTCATTTTATGCTCATAATATCTCTTGGAGGTAGGCAAAGCTGAGGAAGTCTTGACTGGTTCATGATTAGTTGCATGGCTGAACAACATTCAAACTCAGTCCACAGCAATCTTGGTCCAAAAACTCAATCTACAACATCTGGAGGGCTACAGGACAGGGAAAGGTGCCCTAGGGATTTATTGCCTTTCGCTGCAGTGTGCAGCATGGCTTACTCAAGCCATCTCTTGGCATCTGCTTTTCCAGCATTTTCTGGCAGTGCACGGATTCTCTGCTTGCAGTGTGAGGCAGTTTTGGCTGCATGGATTGTTCTGCTGGGCAGAAACCTGCCTTTTGTCTATCAGGGACTGTTATACATAAAGAAACTTTGTCTCTTCCAGTTCTATATATCCAGCCTTCTGCTTCCCTGAAACTTGGGGGAACTCAGGAATTCTGGATCTTGCCCACCCACCCTTCTAGCCCACATGGAGAGAACCAGGTATTTTTGTTCCAGCCAACTATTTCCCTCATCCTTCCCCTGGATAATGCTCAATCCCCCTTTCCCCTTTTACAATCCCACTCACCTCCAGGTATTCCAGATCTGGGTCCTTCATCATGGTGGCCAAATTGAGTATCTAGGAAGAAACAACAGGGGTGTCAGAAGATGCGCTGAACTTACTTTTGCAGCAGGAAGGAAGAAGAGAATGCGCACCTGGAAAGGAGGGATCTGGCAGGAACCCACCTGATAGGAGCTGAGCAGCATGGAGAAAGCTGAGAGCTTGACACCATCTTCAACGTTTCTTTCCACATCCATCGACCCCTCTGTGTCCACCAAGAACATGGCAATCTAAAGGGACAGTAAGAGATTAATGGACTCTCATAGGAGAAGTTTCCTGAGAGAAAAGAAATTAGTTTGGTCAGCGGGCTCCAAAATACCTACTTATAGCTTATAGATGGCATGTGTCTGTTGTGGATGGTAAGCCATATTGGCTCCCTGTCCATTGCTGAGCCCAAGTGAAGGGGGTGGTATGTGCCTTGAACATCCTAAATGTCTTGGGATCCAAATTCCCCATGAAGCTCTTCTTCTTGTACCGGCCTGCCAATGTCATGAGATCTTCCAAAGAGGCCCTGATCTAAATACCCACCATAGATCGTAGAGGATGTGCAGTGTAGTGTAATGGTTAGAATATCAAACTAGGATCTGGAAGGCCAGACTTCACTCAGCCACAAAGCTCACCAGATAACCATAAAAAGTCACTGTCTCTCAGCCTAACAGACTTCACAGGGTGGTTGTAATTCTGCAAGGAGAGAGCCTTTTCTGTGGTGACACTCCAACTTCAATCCCCAAGGCTGCAGTTCCAGTACTAACATTATAAGCTTTACAGTGCAAGGAGAAGACCTTCCCATTTGCCTGGACATTTTAGTACTTTGGACCACAACTCCAGTACTGTCTGAGGCTTATGGGAACTATAGTCCACAACATCTAAAGAACAGCAGGATGGGGAAGGCTGAGTTAGGATGTGAGGAGTGTGGGGCAGAGATTATGTGGAATGGAAGTATTTCATGAGGACATCTCCAGGGGGCTGGTATGACCAGAAGGTCCCATTTTCCTTGAGGGAGAGAAGCTTTCTTCCTCTTGTTCTTTCCCTAGTTACCTTCACAATCTGTGCTGTGCTGTTCTTACCTTTTCATGTTCACTCTGGACCCAAAATGGCCGACTCCATATCCACACACCCTTGGTGGTGGTGTTAGGTCCTGGTCGCCATTCAAAACCCGTCAGTGCTTCATTTTCTTGACCCATCCATGATTCGTCCTCAGCCTCCTGCCAACAAGGAAGAAAGTCAGAGGATGGTGATCTTGTTAAACCCACAGAATGTTCATGAAGACAGGGGATGGAAAGGCAAGCTATGTAGTATTGAGCTAGATAGGACAATACCACTCTCTGATTCAGAGCCTATAAGGGTTGAAGAAAGCAAGAGTGTCTCTGGTTGCCCTCCCCATCCACCTGGAGCAACTGCCCTGCATACAATGTATGTCTCTGAATACCAATTGTAGAGAACTGCAAGCGGGGAGTGGACTGTTGTACTCAGGTTCTGTTTGAAGGCTTTCCATATGTATCTAGGTGGCCACTGTGAAAACAGGATGGACTACATGAAACTTTGCCCTGATCCAGCAGTGCTCACCTTCTTATACCTCTGATACCTTAGATGTCCACACAGCTGCTTAACTTCTGCTCTGACCCCAAATGTGTCCCAGGGTATAATCTGAAGGTGCATGTGGTCACCACTTTGCTAAAGCTAAGCAGGTCTGGGTCTAGATGGCTGACCACATGCACACTGCCCTCATTTAAAATGTCAGGATATAAACAAAATAAAATAAATAGTATTTCAACTCTGACTTGCACAAAATTCATTGCACAAAAGCCCGTTTTGTACAGCTGATTACCTAGATGAGATGGGGCAACATGATCCGTGAAGGACATTCATCTAAGCTAGACCCTTTTCAAATGGAAATTCTGCAAGCATCACCTATTGACCCACCCTAACAACACACACAGAGAGAAGTTCCCATGCATTTGTTCTCACCAGGTTCTGAAGCCGCCGTAGGAGAAAGTTCAGCAGGAAGGATTTTCCTCGCCGTTGCTCCCCAAGAATGGAGACCAGGCAGACAGGGGCGTCCTTCACCTGCCCCTGCTCCAAGCAGCGGCTCAAGGCTTCCTCATCCAGGCAGAGATCTCCATCATCATCCAAGCCCACCAGCTGCACTGGCTTTCCTGGCTCCAGTATCTCCTGAAAGAGAAGGGAGATGGATAGGTCACCCAGATCTGAAGATGCTCCACCGTCTGGCAACCCCATGGATCTTAGAGGCGTCAACACAGAAGAAAGCACAGCAGATCAATTTATAATCGTGATCAGTTTTACATCAGGCTGGCAACTGAGCGTCTGTGCACCAAAATCTTGCTAGCAGATGACGACTGTTGATCACCCACTGTATATACAGCTCTTCCTTTCTTGACCAATAAATCTCACCACAGCAGGCTAGAATTTTAAGGTGTTTTAGGGCATATTGCTATTTGGAGGTGAGCTTTCATAGCATTCATTTTCTATTGGGAAAACTCATTGTCAGAGGAGGAGCTAGGAAAATGCAAAATATGATTCCCCAGCCAGCACTTGCATTGATGCTGTGATTCCTTCATGTTGCATCAAGTGTCCTAGTGGAAACGGTATAAAATGGTTACTTATATAAGCCACTTTAAGCCTCCCCAGATTGGGTCTTACCAGTTCCTCCTCAACCACCTCCTTTACAGGCAACTGTCCAATTTTTTCCACCAGGCTCCGCAGCCGAGTGTCCGGGATCATCCTCTCCCGGCTGCAGGGATGGCGGCATTCGGGGCAGCGGTACCCATAGTGCGAGGTTCCACTCCAGTGGGCAGAGAGGCAGACCCTGCAGAAATTGTGCCCACAGTCAATGGATACAGGGTCTTCAAAGGGTTCGAGGCAGATGGAGCAAGTTATGTCCTCTTTCAGGTCCTGGATCATGCCTCCTGCAGACGTCTTTGTGGGGCTTACCAGTGAGCTCAGCCTGCAAAAAGCAAACAGATAAAATACAAAGATGAACAGTGAAACTCTGGTTTCTGACAGTACCTCATTCTGCTGTGTCCACAAATAAGGCCTTGGTTAAAACCCAACTGTAATCATGTTTACACATTTCACTCAGTTAATTGTCTGGGATGTGACCTCCCCTTGCTGAATGCTCTTTCTTGAAAGAGCAAAGTTGAAGAAGCCGTTTGCAATGTGCTCCCAATGAATATCAGGCTTCTGCTTAGACTCTGAAGGACCCTGAATTCTGTTTTTGCCAGCTGCTGTGGAAAAGAGAGATGGGGTACATGAGCAAATCCACCTGCTCATTTCCACCTGGCAACCCTGCTGATCTTTAGGCCCATAAGTTTCCTCAGGATTGGGAAGGGGGAAGAAACACTAGCTGTGGCTTACTACCTGATTTTCAGCCTAGAGATGCCTTCTCTCAAGACATTGGAGGATCCTGAATTCTGTTTATGCAGGCTGATATGGGGAAGAGTGATGGGGTAGGTGAGTAAACCTGTCAACATTTCTCTACCTGGTAGCCCTACAGATTTTGAAGCCTATGAGTTTTGTTGTGACAGAGAGTGAAAGAGAAACACCAGTTAAGGCTTATTGCTTAGACAAGGAGCTATAAACACCAGACCTGTTCTTAGATTGCCTCTGGGCAGGGCAGGCAGTCTGAGGAGGATGACTCATAGAAAAAGCTGTTGAGTTTGGAACTTAACAGGTTAAGTTGTTCCCATGATGCCACACCATTCTGACGTCAGCTTTCGAAGCTGGGAGGAGTTTGGGAGGAGTCTGTTCTGTTCCTCTCGGTGTTTGAGAGAGAAAGAAGTTTTTTTGTCATGGCTGCAAGCAGTCCTGGATCTGACTGAGAATTGTTGGAATAAACGACTGTAAATAGACAAACCTGTACTGTGTGTGTTTGTCTGGAAGCTAAGCCAAGCTACGTGACAGTTTTACACCGCTGTGTTAAACTCTGCTGAGGCGTGACTGAGAGCTCCGAGCGGAAGTGTGCCGGGCGGCCATAACTCGCTAATTGAGGATCGCAAATCAATTAGTGGGAGTCACGGCAGATCAATCAATCCAAGAGGTTATGGGTAACCTTAATCACCGATCGTAAAACTGTCACTGGAGGCTGCCGAAAGCTTTGATCTGCGGTGTAGAGCAGAGAAGCACGGCAGGAGGCAGAGGCCGGGAGCTGGAGAGCGGCTGTTTGTTTACGTGAGTACGCTGGGCCCCGGGAGAACATGGCAGATGGCCAGGAGGTGTTTCAAGCTCCGTTTGAACAGCTTGAGGAACTCACCGCCCAAGCGTGGGATACCTGGGCAAGAAGGGTGAGAGCGTGGTTTTTAGCCACGGAAGTTTGGGACATTTCCCAGAGAGAACCAGTGGAACTGGTGGACAGAGATGACAGAGATGCAGGGACGCTGCAATCTGTTTCTCTGGAGGGAGAAAATGCAGAGAGAGAAAGCTATGAGAGCTGAGGTCTGCATGTTGAGAGCAGGTGTTCATGCTAATTTGCAACATCACCTGAAAAGCATTGAATCTGCGTGTGAGGCCTGGCGAGTGCTGAAACGTCTGTGTGAAGACTCAGCAGGGGGCCAAGGGCAGATGGAAGCTGAAAGCCTAGAGATGGCTGGAGCCCCTGTTCCTGATGATTTAGCCTCAAGGAGTGCTAGGTGAGCAAGTCGGGGGGGCGGAAAATTCCAAAGGCAAGTTTGAAAAAGTTTTCCACTGTGCGTGCTGGAGTGGAGTTCAGGGGGGCGGATCTGGCAAGGAGTGCTTTTCCGGAAGAAGGAGGGCCAAGCCAGCTGAAAAGAGCCCCGGGCAGTGTTTTTCCACTGGAGTTCGTCGTTGCTACGTGTGTAATGCAACGGGACATCTGCGTCGAGATTGCCCCCACCGGAGCAGAGCGAGGGCAGCTGCACAGGAAGGCTTCAAGGACACT